TGTATGTTCAGAGACATATATGTAGGGGTCCATTTTCGGATATGTCACATATATGTTAAACATATATGTGACATATATTAAAAATATATAGGTTCATATATATTCCTTCCATGTGGGATGACAAACACCTGCTAAAGATTCAATCAGAGCTCAAAAAGTTGTACCATTCTGAAACATACAAAACCTTTTTTTAAAAGATGCAAATGAACATGATGCAAGTCTTCAGGGAGAGCGGGGTCACAATACCAGTTACTTAAAACCTGAACCTAGACAGGAACATGCATTGAGATGCATATATTTGTGCATATTTGTTATCAAGACTGCAATACAGGCTCCATAGGCAGGGCTTGGATTAGCACGAATACAGGGGAGGCACGTGGAGCTTCTCTGCGGGAGTGACGAACGAGAGGAGCAAGCCTCAGTGTCAGAGGTGCAGATGGACACTGAATCGCCTAATGAAAAATGGCTGCAATTAGCACACCACCGGCTAATGAGCAGTAATTATTACACCGCTCCCAGCTGAGGGAGTGAGTTGTGGGCTTGTGGGCTCATGCGTGTGTGTAAGAGATATGTGTAAGTATACTTGTGGGTTAGCAGCAGTTTGTATTCATGAGTGAGGGAAACATGTAGGATAAAAAAGCTTTTCCACACCGTCAAAAAGTAAACTTTTACAGCAAAGGAGATGAATACATATTTAGTAGTAGACGTTGTTATGTTTGCCCATACAAACACTCAGACTCTCAAAAACAAGAATGTCATGCACACTCACAAATACCCACACTGAATCCAATGAATTAAAATGTTCAGGACATGAATTTCTGAGTGAAAACACTGCAGATAAGCCGGCAGAGCTCCAATAAAATGTGAGGGGTCTCTGCAGTGGGGATGTTGCAGGAATCCACAATACTTCCACACTCACCTACTGCAAAGAGAGAAATCCCATTGTCAGCCACAGCTTTGGCTGCAGCATCGACCAGGTCGTCTGAACGTCCGTTTGTGATCATTACAACAATCTGTGCAGGGTGACAGAAATAATCTATTATTTTAGGTCAATAAACATAATTAAACAATCAAAAAACAACCTGATAATTTGCATAAAAAACTACAGCAGTTTGTTTTCATTACAGTTATTCAGTTTCTGCATTTAGTTTTGTGAAAATGTGTTTAATCGATGTTTATTCACTAGCCAAACAGCGTTTTATTTCAATAAAAATAACATCCCTGCTATTCAGAGTTATGCTCAAAAAGCATGGACTCATGGTTTTACTCCAGCCCAATAAATCAAACCCTAAGCCAAAGTGGAATTCAATGATGCTAGTTTGCAACAGACACTCGTAATTTGCCCATTAAGGAAAATTAAAACAGTTACTTCACAGCTCATCCATCAGTCAATGAAGGAGGGGGCTAGAAATCATCGATATGAGAATGTAGCTGCATGTGCTCTGGCTGTACAATTTGATATATCAGCTAATCCTGAATTCACTGCCTTCCCACGTCAAGAGTCCTGCTTCAAAATGATTCACACACTAACTCAGAGATAGAGAGGCGAATGGAATGCTAACCAGCTGTGTTATAGTGAAGCTACACTACGGTGTTAGACTGTCTGAGACATTTAGTTCACACAAACTGAATACTTTTGGAATAGCATTAGCGGGGCTCATCAGTACCAATTTGAAACATGATTCTGTGACAAAGAAGGTTCATCTCCATTGTTTATCGCTGGATGGCCATCAAATGGACCTGTTGAGGAGTATCTCACTTTTGGCCTTTAGTCTATCCTTATGCACAGTCATTCAGCATATTTAGCATGTTAAATCCGTGGCAAACGCACAATCTTTTGCCTCGCCCCTTTCCTTTTTGTATTCTGGAAGCAAAACAACAAACCAAAGTAAAACCTGTTTCCAATAGTAACTTTTCTATCAGACATCCTCTCAGTTTGCATTCAATGCGTAAAAAAGCTTGTCAGTGGTGTAAAATGGGCCGCCGGCTTGTTTTGTTTGTGTCTTACCACACAATGTTCCTTCCTGTACAAATACAGACCTCTAACTAGTAATTTCCTTTCAAATAGGGCCAGAGTATACATCATATCCGTGATAATGGCCAGCTGGAAGAAATAGTCTTTGCAGTGTGGGCTGTAATCTTGAATCAATCATCTTCCAGTTGTTTGTGTGTCAACACTTTGTCATACATTAATAAGAGATATGCCTTTTGTATTGTTAACATTCATGGAAGAAGTTTTTGTTATGAGACCTCTTTTGCCTTTGCTTATTCTTGGAATTACCTACAGCATGTGTAGTTTCTGGCACATTTCAAGGGTATCTTTTTTCTATGCTTTGCTCCAAGTCTGTTGGTATACTAAAATCCCTTTATGGCAGACGAATGCGGTCACCACGGATAGGTTTGAAGCACTCTACCTTCGGGGTATGGTCACGGCTGATAACAGGGCTGAACACGGTGTCAACCAGAAACTGGAGGGCGTCCCCCATCCTCCTCGATCCACCCACATAGGGGAGGTCTCTGACGGCTCGGAGCACCTCTTCCTGTGAGCTGTAGTCTGTCAAAGCAATCCGCATCCTACACAGATAAACAGGGGAAATACGATCATGTACAGTATTAAAAAGGAAATAGCTAAAACAGATATTGGAGTTTGTGTACATTGTGTTTTGTTTCTCCTTTAATTTAAATATAGGATTTTTTGTGTTTTTTCTAACAGATGGGGACAAAACATAAATGTGTCTGGCTTAATAGCAATTCATTGCTGTCTTTAACATTTTGATATTCAAGTATTACCTTGGGACATCCCCAAAGACAGTGACTCCAAATCGGACCCCCTCTGTTCCAAACGCCATGCCCTGAAAGGAGGAGATGATGGTCGAGATGAAGTCTTTGACCCTGGAGAAGCTGGTCTGGCCCACACTCCATGACTCATCCACCAGAAACACTATGTCTGCCTGCACCACCGTCTTGCATGCTGAGGGAAGAAGAAGGGGTGAGTTAGTGTGTGCATAAATACCAAAGAGTGAGAATCAGGGGAATCGGTGTTGATAGAATTCAAAATACCTTGACCTTATCTTTAAAAAATATTCCAATTTAGGCCTTTTTAGGGTTAAAGGTTGAGACTTTTTGTCTAATCCCCACACTGACCACCAGAGAGCAGTCTTGTTCCACCCTGAAAAGGTGTTTCCTTCTACTTGCATCTGTAATACAGCTAAAGCCCTGCACAAATCCTTATGAATCTTTAATGAGACACAAGTGAGCCAAAGAGACTATCAATATTCTAAGCACTCCAGCAATAAAAGTTTAGTACAGCGATGAAGAACGCTTAGAATAATAAGGTAAACACGCCCAAAATCAGGGTCAGTCCCCTCGCTCAGGCAAACAAACGCATTTAACATAAGGATCTGATGCGTTTCCCAGCAGGACTCGGATGTGTTTTAAAGTGCTGTTAAAAAGCCAGACGCACAAGAAAGGTAACCTGATGCAGTGACTACATGTATATACACGCACTCCCACATACATTATCTCTTGCAACTCAGATGAACACACCTTCACACATTAATTCTCCACATTGATATACAGTACTGTACTATCAAACGCTCCCACTTGACACAGAAATCTGCTGCGTGTGCAAATGCCCTCTGAGTCAATATTCTGGCATTACATATGCAATAAACCATAGTGACGACAGCATTGATTAGTGTGGTGAATAAGAGATAGGCACCACTGATTGTTCTGTATGTGATAACTCAGCTCCTCTGCTGTCCTCCATTTCATTACAGAGCTTTCCCGCCTCTATTATTTTGCCCTTTTTCCTTTGGCTGTAATCCCAGGATTCACAGGGGGAGACATATGTCTCCAGCCCAGGGCGACCTAACATTATGTTCTTCCTCAAATACCTATCTACTATCTCTGCCCACAACAGAAGCTTTAGTGCTATATTTAAAAAACTGATGCAAAACCACAGTTTAAACCACTGATGCCGAATAAACAGGATGTTCATCGTTCCCATCCTGAGTTGAGCCTCATATAGGCAGTCAACAACCCTTGTCTACACAGTTTGCTTTTTCTAATTATTGTGATGCATTTTCTAGTCCATAGATTTCTGTAAAAGCACATAAACATGGTGGAGATTGTGAGCAAGGAGGCTCCCCGAAGATGGTGGAGATGGAAGAGGAAAACTAGATGAATTATCTAGAAGTGTGTCAGTCTGGTATGGCAGGTGAGGACCACATGCCAAGAATAAGAAGACAACACATGCTGAGGGATTAGGAAGGGTTTTCTTGAAGGTTATCTATGCTGATGTCTCAAAGGTTGTGTACATTAGACCACCATTGATTTACCCCTTAGATGTGGCTCAGTGGATACAGCATATGCTGCAGAAAATTCTGCAAGGAAAGAAAAAGTCTCGGAAATAATGATGCACTGCTGCAATCAGCTTTAACAAGATCAAGAGAAAAGTTGTGAAACATTAGAGGGTACACCTCAGGTTCAGATTTTCTCAGGACAAATGAATGTAAAGGTTAATACAAAAAGAAAATGAGAGTCATTTGCATTGAAGCTAGGAAATATAGGACAGAAATATTAAAGAAAACATGACAAATGCAAAGGCATTCCCCCAGCATCTGTTTGCAGAGTCATGTACTCGCCCCATTGGGACAGTCAGGGGATGTAAACAAGCAAGTCAGTCAAACACTGTATTCATATTCATGTTGTTGTTCACATCTGAATTCAAAGCAATTCAGTTGGAAGATAATAGAGAACATTACATTACATTGCATTTAGCTGACGCTTTTATCCAAAGCGACTTACAATAAGTGCATTCGACCAAGAAGATACAAACTTGAAGAAAACAGAATCATATAAGTATATCAGGTTTCATAGAGCCAAACCATTTCAAGTGCTACTCAACTGGCTTTAGATAAGCCAGTCCTTTATTAGTATTTAAGTGCTCTGTTAATAATTTTATTGGTCGAAGTGGAGTAGAAAGAGATTAGTTTTTAGTCTGCGCCGGAAGATGTGCAAGCTATCTGCTGTCCTGATGTCAATGGGGAGCTCATTCCACCATTTTGGAGCCAGGATAGCAAACCCACGTGTTTTTGCTGATGGAAACTTGGGTCCCCCTCGCAGTGCGGATGCAGCGGGCTGTTTGGCTGATGCAGAGCGGAGTGCATGTGGTGTATGGTTTAACCATGTCCTGGATGTAGGAAGGGCCAGATCCATTCGCAGCATGGTACGCAAGTACCAGTGTCTTGAAGTGGATTCTAGCAGTTACTGGAAGCCAGTGAAGGGAGCAGAGGAGCGGTGTGGTGTGGGAAAATGTAGGAAGGTTGAAGACCAGGCGAGCCGCTGCATTCTGGATGAGCTGCAGAGGTCGGATGGCACATGCAGGTAGACCAGCTAGGAGGGAGTTGCAGTAGTCTAGGCGTGAGATGACAAGATCCTGGACCAGAAGCTGCGTCGCTTTTTGGGTCAGGAAGGAACGTATCCTCCTGATGTTGTAAAGAGTGTATCTGCAGCAGCGGTTGTTGCAGCGATGTTTGCAGTGAAGGACAGTTTGTTATCTAGGGTCACACCCAGATTCCTTGCAGTCTGAGTCGGGGAAACAATAGAGGTGCCGATGTTGATTCTTAGGTCAAGAGTGGGACAATCTTTTCCCGGAAGAAAAAGCAGTTCAGTCTTGTCAAGGTTGGGCTTGAGGTGGTTAGCAGACATCCACTGAGAGATGTCTGCTAGACAAGTAGAGATGCGTGCGACGACCGTGGGTCTCTGAGGACGGGGAAAATACATAATTAATTGGGTGTTGTCAGGGTAGCAATGGTATGAAAAACCATGCGGGCTAATGACCGATCCGAGCGAGTTTGTGTACAGAGAGAAGAGGAGGGGAACAAGGACAGAGCCCCTGTAGTTAATTGACAAGGGTCGGACTCGGACCCTCTCCAAGTTACCCTGTAGGTGCGGTCTTCGAGGTAGGAGGTGAGGAGGGAAAGTGCAGAGCCTGAAGCTTCAAGTTCTTGGAGAGTGCGAAGGAGGATCTGATGGTTCACCGTGTCGAATGCAGAAGATAGGTCCAAAGGGATGATGACAGAGAAGAGGGAGGCTGCTTTAGCAGTGTGCAGTTCCTCAGAGACAGCAAGGAGGGCAGTTTCTGTTGAGTGACCCAGCCTTGAAACCAAACTGGTGCGGAACGAGAAGGTTGTTCTGATGGAGATAACAGGAGAGTTGTTTAAAGACTGCACGTTCAAGTGTTTTGGACAGGAACGGGAGAAGAGAGACAGGCCTGTAGTTTATAACATTAGACGGGTTGAGGGTGGGTTTCTTTAGGAGAGGGTTTACTCTTGCCTCCTTGAGAGTGTTTGGAAAGTGACCAGGGGCCTCATGTATAACGCCGTGCGTAGGATTCACGTGGGAAGGTTGCTTACGATTCACCGAACATTGCGTACCGGCGAGGAAAGTGCGTACGGCACTTCCTACGCCAGTTTCCCTTTATAAATCCCAATCGATTCGAAATGTGGTGCAGCTTTTGCGGGCTTCACGTAACGCCCATATTTGCCCATAAATAGTCAAAGAAACGCCCATTCATTCATTCATTTTGACTGATTGCATGGAGAAAATCGCAGGAATTGACGACAGAACAGCTAAAAAAGCCATCTCACACCGTGTCATAGTTTGGTTATTTTGGGGAGGTTGAGATAAATCATATTGTTTGATGGATGCAGTTTGAACCAGAGTAGCAGCATGGAGGTCGGATCGTCACCAAAATAAATAAATAAGTGGTCCGAAAAAGGTTAATGACAAAAAAAATACACATAGCCTTCCTCAGGCAGTGTGTTTGTACCGGGGACAGGAGACACCCCCTTGATGAGA